CCATCTGTATATTCCGAAGTAGTTTTCATCAAAAAGCTGCCTGTAATTGCAAAAGCATTATTGTGACACTTGAGGGTCCAAAAGCTCTGTAAAGGTTGCTGTGTGCATTACTGCATTTATTAAGTGGCTTACATGAACACTCTGATGCTTATCTCTCCAGCAGGCTTTTAACTCTTCAAATCACCTCAATTCACACTGCAGGATACAAGTTCTATTAAACTGCATTTTAAGTTCATGTATTTTAACCAACACTCCTCCACCTGCAATAGCACATGCACTCAAAACCCCCGTTTTCATTTTTAACTTTCTTAAAACCCCTAAACCCAAATACCTGAGCGTTCGCTCAGATGACTGACACCTCAAGCCTATGAGGCTGACAGTTCATTACAGACAAAGCAGTACTTCTTCAGCATTAATATGAAGGTACCTCACTGACAAACTCCCATGGCTCTCTGCAAACTGGTCACTAATTCTTATATTAGAGCAAGTGTATTTGCAATTAGAAAGAACAAAGCAGAACTAACTAGAAGAGATTTCAACTGTGTTTGTGTTACGAAAATTGTACAGACTGACTGTTGGCACTGAAAAAACACATCCATGAACTTTCACAAATTTTACATTATTTGCATTGTCAAACCCAAGGAGCCTCAGGAGTGAGTTACAAGACTGTCTCTGAGATCCTGTGATCACTGGTTTACATGCCATTCTGACACAACTCTTCTCATTCCTTCTGATTATCCTTTAAAACACAATTCACCCCGTTCACTGCGAGTATTTTAAAAGAAGTTCCTCTCTGCACCTTATTTTTGAAATATCTTGTCCACATACACATTTGTTTCTGACAACTCCCTCAACTTCTCTCTGCTGCTTCATCTTCCATTCTCCAAATCTCAGTCTGCTCCTGGTCATGTCCTTGCAGACACAGAGCTGTCAGCCAAAACAACAGTAAAAACCTTAACACCACGGAGACAGAAGTCCACTTCTTGGCTCTTCTTCCCTCCTCTTCCACTCCCCACAGAAGGGAGAAAGCATTCCCATCCTGTTTTCTCCTTCCTTGAACAACTGTGGGTAAATTCATAAACCTGGTCATGCTAAAACCCTCCAGCTGTGAATTCCCTGGAGGTCACCACGTTCTGACCATGACTATCGATCTTGCTGCATCTCACCATATACAGTCAGAGATTGAGCCTTTCCTACCCATCTGGCCAAACTGCCGCCAGTCTTGCGACCCAGCTACTGTAGCATTTGTTTACTCTGGCCTTAACAACAACTACTCAGCTCTCCCATTTTCATGCAGAAAGTCATCAAGAAGACCACTCTCGTGGCTCATCATCTTGGTCACATTATTTTTTCCTTGTCTCCCCTCACTTTTTCCCTTTTTCTGTTAGGACAAACAGAAAAACCAGACCTCCACCTCCCGAGCTTTCACCACCTACCAGCCCTCATTTCACTGATGTGTCAGCTGCAGTCTCTCACACAAAAACCAATCTTCATTCTGAATCGTGAGACGATACGGAATGCTTCAAATAAAGAAGTCACGTAGTATGCTGTTAACACTTCAGAGCTCACCAGCTGCTTGTTCACTTAAGTCTATGATGATACAGTGCTGTCATACCGGCAGAAAGATACATGTGCCTTCTCTTCAAAACATCCTCATTTCTCCCAAGGCTTAGGAAAAGGTAACTAAAAGCCTAACAGTTTTAGGAGATTCCTTCCCAAGAACAGCCTGAAATAGCTTTCCCTTCTAGCAAAAAAAGCTGACCACCTCATATCTTAATTCCTTCTTCCTTTCACAAAACAAAAGCACTCTTCTGCAAGTCACAGAACACTGGCTGTTACCAAAGCACCAGCCTATTAACAGACACAGCACTGTGGGAAAGGTGTGAGCATCACCTATTGAGGCAAGTGTTTTGATATTCCACCCACAAAGAGGTGAGAAAGAGCCGGGTATGGTGAAGGCTTACAGTAACTCATATGCCAATGTTAAATACAAAAATCAGTCCACTCCAGACTAATGCGGAAGTCTCCATTTGCACACTGCCTACAGTACAGAACCAAGTCCATGGGCTCAAACTGAAGCACAGCGGGTGTATCTCTACACCCACAGTCACCACTGGCATTAGCACCAGCTTGGACTCCTCTTGTTATTTTTCCAGGGCCAATCTTCAGCTGAATTAGTGAGATGATTCAGTTCAGCCTACTAAGGCAAGGGCAAGAGTGGCTTAGCCACAGGTTACATTTACTGTTTAAAAAAATAACAGAACATTATCAACTGAAAACCTGGTAGTTAGCAGATCCAGATGTTGCACTGTGCTGTACGTTCATATCACACTACAAAAAGGCCAACTTGCGTGAAAGTCACAATGGCACTAGAGAGCTTCACTGGACACACAGGAGATCAGGCTTACTTTTTCATCTGTCTTGTCTCCCACACATGCTTCAAAGGATAGCACTAAAAGGAACACTGCAGCAAGCATGTGTGACAGATACTAATCTACCATGACATCCCAATCTCCAATAGCTAAACACTGAAACCTAAAAGCTATCATTCCTCCTGTATTTTTGCTGGAATTGTAAAAGCAGCAACAGATTACCTATCTACATAAAAACCCCAAGCCATTTTTAATTCTGCTCAACTTTCATAATGCAGTAGCCCCCTTGCACAGGGTGAGAATGATTACATATTGTTAATTTCTTTTAAATTTGTTTTCATTTTTTGGCATCTCAGTTACAATCAATGGCCTTTTTTCTTTATAAAATGTAGCAGGGACAAAATCAGTTTCTGACCATGCTTTTTGCATGCCTTTTGTATGTCTGTCATTCGCATCTTTTCTTTAAAAAAAAAAAAAAGCAGAGTTTTCTACTTTTCAGATAGAAATAAAGAATAAAAAAAGAAGGAAAACTAAGCTTTCATTCTCCTTTTGTGGGCAAAATGAACAATGTTGCAGAAAGAGTAATAGGTGGAATCACTAGTGTTACAACTTTTAAAGTTATTTTTTTGCATTCTAACACTGTACTAGACCCCCCCGGTCCCCAAAGCACAGCTGCTGCAGAGTACACGGTTCTGCTCTCAGAGAAACGAAACCCATCACTTTTCAAGATGAAACAGCTATTGTTTAAATATAACAGAACATATCATTTTATATTTAATGTTTCCTAATTAGCATCTGTCAAATTAACAGTGCTGTATCCACATGCTATACGCAACAGCAAGGAAAAAGTAAGTGAAGAAATGTTGGGTTCACTGTATATAGCGGATCCAACACTGCCCAAAGAGCAGCAGGCACAAGGCAGAGGAGATCAGGACGTGCACCACCGGGTTTCCTGCTCCTCAAGAGTACTTACTTGTATACTAACACTGAAAAGCACCATGACTAATAAGCTGTGATATACAACTGCAGAGAGCACAAAGTTAAAGCTCAACACAAACTGATGGCCTAGCAAAGACTGCTTTGGGGGGGGACTGGGATGTGGTGGTGTGTGAAGAGATTTAAAAAAAAAAAAAAAAAAAATCACTATACATATAAGAGGCCAATTTTAACTGAGTGCATCAGGTTGCCCCAATTCTGACCTCTGTCAAGTACTGCTTTGCAGACCCACTGCAAACACTACACAGAGCACCAACAGGTAAGGCACAGCTATACTCTGAAAAGTACGTAATATGCCCTGAGGAGTCACTAAGTGAGACTTAAGTGGTCCCTCCCTAACTGCCAAACTCGCCAACTACCTTCCTTTTTGAGGACCTCGATGTTTTGCATCACAAGTAAGGGGCTGCAAAGTGCAGACACCTTTTGCTATATTCGTGAAACTTATTTTGATGCTAGCATCATCCCTGAAATGTTTCCTTGGTCAAGCCTCCAGGCTTTTGAGAATATGTAAAACCTTGCTCTCGGCTTCACAAACACACCAAAGCCCACTGCCTGCTGCTGCGTTTGGGTTGCCTGGTTGGTGCGTTGGGGAGGAGTGGGCAAAAGAAGGTGCCAACAATGCTCCAGAGAAATGTAGTTTCTGTAATGACTGAAGTTACTGGATAGAAGAGTTCTACTTGTGCATAGTCAAATGTACAAAGCTAGAAAACACAAAAATTAATCTTAAAAAATCTGTCAGTTTTCACAGCCAACCTCGAACTTCAAAAACAGAATAAACATTTAAAATACCAAAGCTAAAATTATATGCATGCATGAGAACATTACCCAGAGAAATTCTGACATCAGAGAAATATATTAATCAATGACTGAAAAGCACTTATCCAAAGAGGAAACAAATAAGCAGATGAAGTTTACAGTTAGAAGATTTGATTCTTTTAAACTATAAGGTCTTAACAACATAAGGTTTGACTTAATTTGTTTTTCCCCACTCATATAAAACCAAAATTCAGATTTAATCTAGGGGGCAAAAATTACTAAACTATACATTGTCTTGAAATCCTCAAAACACTGACTTCCATTTCAACTGACTCAACTGCTGTTCCGTTTCTAGTAAGTAATTCAAGTTCTGTGATAATTCAACTGCCGAGATTCTTCCTTACCAGGCTAAAGATCTGCCCTATTACCTAATGATGTTTCCCACAAGAACCAGGGAGATTGCTTGCTATCATGTTGTCTTTCTGCAACATTTGTCACCAACATTTAGAATACCTCGCATTTTCTGAAAAAAGAAATCAGACACTTATCTACACAACATTAAAAGATCATCCAAATGTAACGGTGTCGGATGCAGGGCAATAATATCACATGAAGTGGCAGAAAATTACCATCCTCGGGTTTGGTCAATGCCTTCAGCAATGAAGTCAGCAGGGAAAGCCTCTTCAAGTTCTTTTTTGTTTTCAAATGGATAATGGACCTGTGCATAAGGCATGCTTCCACTCTCAAACCAGCAATCAAACACTTCAGGGACCCGATGCAGCAAGCCCTTGCCACAGTGTGAAGGGATAGTTAGGTGATCAATACTATGGGAAAGAAAAAGATTGACAAATTCTAAACAAGAATTAGCACAAAAAGTTAACGTTATGCTTGCACATGAGGTGAGACAGGAGTTTTGGATTTAATTTTAATGATTCTTCAAAAGGCCAGCATTTCCTTTGATAATTTTTATAATTTAAAGCTATTTTAGAGAATTTTTTGCATTAACACTGTCTAAGGCAGAAGAAAGGAGAATTTATACATATTAATCACAAGTCCTTTTACTACTTTTCTCTTTTCCCTTAATGTTTCTCAAGATTTGGGCAAAGAAAACCAGTAATTCTTATGTCTACTCAACTACTGTTAATAACTAGTTAACAGTCCCTGTGACCAACCTTTCTCGATGGAGATCAGTGACTTTCACTCCAGACAGCTCTTCCAGTTCTGCCATTGAACCAATACAAACTACCTGGAAGAAAAACCCAAGAAGTTTAGTCAGTTATTTGCATACGCTAGCCATTTTTATTTTTTTTAAACACTAGAGAGGAGACTTGTAGCTGATACAGCTCAAAAGCCAACAAAAATTTTCTACAAGGTTCCCTTCCTCAAATCTAACAAAGCAGCAAAAGATGTTAGAAACCACTGCTCTGATTTAATGCAATTCATGTCAGAATGATCAGAAACTACAAGGAATAAGCATGTTGTCAGATATCAAAAAAAGGTGGGAATTTGCTGGTGGTTTGTTGGTTGGTTGGGTTTGGTTTTGGGTTTTTTTCCCCTCCAAACAACCCACAACAAAATCGCCCCTGAAAATTCAATGATCCTGACTTTTATAGGAATAGGAGTTTCAGACCCAGGTTTCTCTTCTGAAGGTAAACAGCTAAATTGCTCATAATTGAGTCTAAGTGTTCCATTCCAGGTACGCTAAACTGTTCACATTAATGGCATCTTATGTAAAGTGAAAAAAGTGTCACAGCTAGCAAAGGGTTGTTAAGAAAGGTACAGATTTTTCTTGTTTTTATTGTACCAACACACTGAGAGAAGCAAAACGTTTCGGCAACAGACTTGCACTGACATCACAAAGTGTTGATGAAACAAATGATTCTGAAGAACTGTGTAGGAAAGGAGAAAAGCCAAGCTTTTTCTACATTATGTGATAACCCAGTTGAACCCCTCCCAGAGTCCTGTGGCCTCCTCTCATCTGGCAGGATTCACAAGCCACAAGCTGAAGTACAAGCCTGGATTTTGGTGACCCAGCCCCACATGCTATCAGTCCAATTCAGAATTGCCAAGGGAAAAAAATGGATTCTGACAGAGCTGACAGGGAGGGAGTTAAATGGATGAGGAGCTGACCGAGAG